CAGCTTTTTTTTTCCTGTGTTTGTGTGTCTCCCCCTCCCCCCTCCCTTTCGTTCCCCTCCCCTCCCTTCCCCTCCCCTCTACTCTCTTCTCCTCTCCTCTCTTCTTCATTCAGTCAGCCTTCTCTTTTCCAAAGCGGGCTGAACCAGCCCAACTCTGGAAAATGTCATTGCCAATATACTCTATGTGGAGAGGAGCTGCTTGAGTTGTATGGGAATCTGTAAGGCTTTGCTTGGTAGTCCTGTTACACACACACACACACACACACACACACACACACACACAGACACACACACACCAAAAACAATTGAAAGTGTAATTTTCAGCTTCTTGGGAAGGAAGAAGTACACATACTTTTTCTCTAGGCTTAAATCCCTTTTCTGCTTCCTATTGTTTTGGGGCAGTTCCATAATTTGTGTCATCCTGCAGTCCCCTTCAGCGGGAGACTTGTTGATGAGAAACAAAGCTAGAGTAAAAGGAGCAGAGAGAACACAATCCTTAACTTTCAACAGCGACTGTAGCTGTGGCCCAAAGGAAGGTAAACATCAGGGTCCCCAGGTACTAACTGTTTGTGTTGTGTTGAATCATGAAATCAGAGCAAAAAAGTAGAAGGCATTTATACACATTGTTTTCCAGCAAAGATCCTGTTTCTACGGAGAAAGTGGCACCTTTTACCCTAAGAATCCTAATCACCACTAACCTGGTTTCCAGATCAGTTCTCACACCAATGTCCCCTGCAGGCCACCCCATTATCATATGTTCTCCAGCATTTAGTATTTATTTATTTTAAAGAAAACCTCTCTATTCTTGTAACTTCTCTTTCTTTGAATACTCTTCTATTTTACATGCCTCTTAATTCTTTCAGTGTCGACTTTCTTTTTATTTAAGGCCAGCATAGCCTTTCGGTACTTTACTGTCACGGTCATTTCGCTGGCGTTTTTGCCTCCACCCTTTCTCCATACCAACTCCTGCCACAGACATGACGTTAGAGAACTCTTGAAACAGAGTTCTGTATCGGGTTCGTTGTGGAAGGTTTTGTTGTTCCCACTGCAAGCAGAGTGAAACTGAACCGGTTTGGAAGTGTACAAGTGTGTTTCCTCTGCACAAACCCTCTCTCCTGTGCACATTCACACACATCACACACACACACTCCTGTCCTCTTGTCAGGTGTGTGTCCTTTGATTCATGACTTCCGCTGATCCAGACGCTCTCTCCCATCCTTTTTGTGTGCCGGATACTGTTCTGGGTCCTAGAGATAGATGTACTAGTGAACAGAGTAGGCAAAAGCCCTAACCTTAGGGAGCTGGCATTTTATTGGAGAGGTGGCAATAAACCAGACAAGAACAGGCAAAGCACATACTAGGCAGATGGTGGAGCTGAGAAGAGTGGCGAGCAGTAAGGGCTGCTATCATACGAAAGAAGGAAGGAAGTGTTACTGAGACCCAAGTCTGGGAAAAATCTCAACAAGAAGCCATGGACCTAGCCTGTGGAAGCCTCCTTGACAGACGACACTGATGCACAAGGGTAGCAGTGTTCATAGCATGTCCAGGTCTTCCAATGCTCCATCTTCTCCACACGTGTAAACAAGCTGCCCCTCAGACCCGAGTTTGATGACCTTCAGTTCCCTAAGGCCTTCATTTCGCACCCTTCCCCATCATTAGCCATTCCTTCCTTCTCTGACTCCCTCAGAACATTCAGCTGGGCATCTCTTACCACGCTTTTTCCCATGCTACCAAAGTCTGCTCTGTTAAAATGTCATTTATCGTTTTCTGCTTTGTGTAGTACTCTATGTTACCTGTGGAATGTTCTGCCATGGTCAGTGTGCTGAGACTTGTTTCCCAGCCTGTGCTGCTTTTGGGAGGAGACGGAAGCAGTAGGAGCAGAGGAGGAGGAGAAGGAAGGTAGGTCTTGGTGTGTACCAGTCACTGGGACTCTGGCACGTCCCCTCGCTCACTTTGTTTCCTGGTCACCATCCCTGATGTGAACAGGTCTCCATGACTCTGTACTTTCACCATGGCATTTTGGGGCTATCACAGGAACAAAGAAATAGGAAGAACACATGGTGGACCTAAACGTCTAGGACTGTGAGCCCCCAAAAAATCACCTTTTCACTTCGAGTTGATTTTCGCAGCTTGGCAGTGAAGAGCCAGCAACATGTGCACTACATAGTAACTGAAGACAGAACTGATTTCTATAGTTACTATAGGAACTGAGGACAGAACAGATTTCTAGAGTTACTATAGGAACTGAGGACAGAACTGACTTCTATAGTTACTATATAGGAACAGATAACAGAACTGATTTCTATAGTTACTATAGGAACTGAGGACAGAACTGA